CTGTATGTTGGAGAGTTAGTTCAAGTGCCCATTAAAAAATGAGGAGTGTGAAAGTTTTTATTCTATTTCTGTCCTAACATTGAAGTGAGTGGTGAAGTACGAGACACTGGACTAGGAGTCAGGGGACAAAGGTTCTATGCCTACCATGTATCTAATTCAGTTGTGCGCCTTTCCAGTAGTCACTAACCTTTTTGTGCTTCAGTGTCTTGAACTGTAAATTATTTAAAAAATTAACAAATTATTGAATGTAAATTAGGTACAAGTGCCATATGCAAGTGCCAGGCTCTTTATGTACATGATTTGTTATCTACCGCAGCAAAGTGAGTACAAATGGGAACTTAGGCCCTGAAAGGCAAGTTGTGTTCAGGATCCCACAGGTAAGAAGTGGCAGAGCTGGGGTTGGAAGCCACTTCTTTCACTCCAAAGCCTGTGCTTTTTCTCCATCTATACTATTCTGCCTCATCTGGAACATGGGGGCCTACCATATGTACGCCTGATTGTTGTCAGGAGCGGATAAGATAATCAAATGTCAGTGCTTTGGCCATTATAATTTTACAGTTAAAGGGAACCCATGAGCAGCTTTAGTGTAGTTCAGGACTCCCTGGGTTCAGATCACAGCTATACTCCTTATTAGCTTTGGAAATCGGATCAGTTACTTGGTCTCTCCATGCATCAGTTTTGTCATCCATCAAGTGAGAATAGTAATAGTACCAGCATCATATGGTGTCACAAGGATGATGTAAAACACTTTGAATAGTGTTTTGCATGTAGTGAGTATTCAGTATATATTAGAGAATGGCAGTGCAGCAAGCGTTATCTGATTCCTTCCTGTTGTTTTAGTTACGGTGAAGCTGAAGCAGTGTTTGCCCAAGGTTACACAACTAAAGTCACTGAAAAGAACAAAGTTTATATGTGTAAGATTGTATTGAATATTTTATAAGTAATAATGAATTTAGTGATAAATATAGTATGAGTGACAATTTTAATCCTGGTCCCCAAGCTGGGGGATTGGGCTGGAAGACAGAGGGTAGGAGAAGAGTAGAGGTAGAGTCTGGGATAGTGACTTATCTGGTAAGGCTTTTGGGTTTTTTGTTACTATTACATAGATCCATCAAACCTCTAGCTTCTCCATCTGTCAGCTCCGAAAAAGACAACTTTTTTTCTCTCTGATTACATCTTTTCAGATTCTGTTAAAGCCTGCATATTGGCTTTTTCTCTAATTGTCTTGATAAATAAAACCTTACCCTTGTTTGGAGTGAAACGGAGCAAACCATATAGTCTGGTTGATTTGAAGTGTAGGAAAAAGATATTTCCTACATGAACCATCCCAAATTGCCAAACTTCTCTGTATTCAAATGGGAGGTCTCAGTTCCAGATAATATAAAAGTGTAAATTTATTACCTAATTTTCTGCTGTTTGTTCCTTTTGTTTGTATACCTTTCTTGGGAGATTTTAGTACATGTAGGATTTGGGCATTCCCAAATACTGTCATATCATCTGATAACACTTCAGGCTCTCCATTGTTTTTAATATGATCACACATACCTGTCAGTCTAAATTTCAAAAGGAACAGAAAGAATGTTTGACAGAATATCACTTTTAGGCAGTTTTGCAGCAGAGGCAGGCAGTACCAAGTAAAAATTTAGGGAGACTAGGTTAAATGCTGTGGGAGAGAGATTGTCATTTGTGTGACATAGATTGTTTATTTTTTGTCTTTCTAGGTTGCTATGGTGACAGACTATGGAGCCTTTATCAAAATCCCAGGCTGTCGGAAGCAAGGTGGGAGCCTATATCTTGAAATTCAGCACTCTCATTTCCCTCTCTCTCCTGTTACTCCCACCACATCCTAATTATAGGCTCTACATTTTTCAGATAGTAGTTTGTTCTAGTTTTTAGTGTATAGATACGAATATAGGTAGTTGATGACAGTTCATTTTTAGTAATTCTTAACTCAGAAGAACAGTGCTCTTGACTTGGGGGAAAGGCTGGGACATAGCCACTTGTGTTCACTTCTGGAGCTAGCTCTTCCCTAAATTTCACCTTTGACCCTAGATGAGTCACTTGACCTCTTTGGACTTAGAATTTGGGAGAGGGCAAGCTACTTAGTCTCTGAGGCTGACATTGTGAGTTTTCTAGTATATGGCATATGGAAAGGAAATAGTATTGTAACCAATACAAATATAATATAATGTTTTAAATTTTCTTCATAAATTGGTAGGTATCTTTTGAATATTTTTGGAGAATCCTTTTCACATCTATAGTCTTATTTGTTTCTCAAAACAATTATGTTAAGTAGAAAAGGTAGGTTCTAAGACTGGTGGCTGCTCAGAATGATTGAGCTAGGTCATGGCATGGCCAGGACTAGTACCCATGCCTCCTGATGCCTAGCCCAGTGGGCTTTCTGCTTTGTTACACTGCTAGTGAATCAAAAGACCCAACTTGCTAATTCCTTGTGCTAAAGTAAGTGAAAGATTTATTAGAGATTTTAATGTAAAAGATGTAATCATAAAAGTATTATTTGAAAATATTTAAATATTTGACTACATAAAAGTCAATATAGAAGTATATTTGATTACATAAAAGTCAAAAATGTTATTGCAAAAATTATCATAACCAAAGTTAAGTTAGGAAAAAGAATTTGCAGTGCATATGACAAAGGACTAATAAAGAAGGAAATAGGAAAAGTGGGCAAGAATATGGAAAGATAATTCACAGGAGAAAAAAATAGCAATTGAGCAATAAGTATCTTAAAAGATACTCTTCTCAATATTGATTAAAAAAATAGCTTAAACTAATTTATTCCTACAATGGAATACTGCTCAGCAGTACAAAGGAATGAGAAGGAAGTATTGATACATGTAATAGCCTGAGTCCATCTCAGAGAATTATGCTGAATGAAAAGCTAATCCCCAAGTTATGTATGTTATGATTCCATTTATGTAACATTTTTAACAGCTTTATTGAGTTGCAATTCGCATACCTACATTTTATCCAAAGTATACAATTCAGTGGTTTTTAGTATATTCACAGAGTTTTGCAACCATCACCACAGTCTAGTTTGAGAACAATTTCATCACCCAGAAGCAACTCTGTACCTGTTTGCAGTCACTCCAAATTCCCCATCTCCCCCTTCCCTCAGCCCCCTAGCCTTAGACAACTTATGTATTTGCTTATTCTGGTCATTTCTTATAAATGGAATCATAACAACACGTGGTCTTTTGTGATTGGCTTCTTTCACTTAGCATGTTTTCAAGATTCATCCATTTTGTAGCAGTATCAGTACTTCGTTCCTTTTTATTGCCATTCCAAAATGTGTGGAATCAACAACCAGCTCTAATTCTTTGATTCTCTGATGCCAAGTGAATGTCCTACAATTCAGTTCAATTCTGACATTAACTACTTAGACATAATGTCAGACTCCATGGGTTTAAGATCTCAGTCCCACAAGACTCCCTCACTTCACACACCACTTGCACATATCGTGTTCCCACATTACCCACTCTTCTGTCTGACTTGGCTACAGATCTCAAGGTTCCCATACCACCTTTGCAACTTTTGATAACTTGCTAGAACAACTCACAGAACTCAAGAAAATACCATACTTACTATTACAGTTTATTATAAAAGATACAAATGAACAGCCAGATGAGGAAGTACGTAGGGCACAGTCCAAAAGGGTCCTGAGTGCAAGAGCCTCTGTCTCTGTAGAGTTGAGTTTCATCGCCTTCTTGACATGTGGATGTGCTCACCAACTCAGAAACTCTCCAGGCCTTATTGTTTCAGGTTTTTGTGGAGGTCCCACTAGGTAAGCACTGTTGTTCCCATCATTGACCATTGGTGATTTTACTCAGTCTCCAACCTCTCTCCCCTCCCTGGAAGTCGGGATGGGGCTGAAAGTTCCAACCCGTTAATGAGACTAACTCTCAATTAATCATATGATCGTTCCTCTGGTTATACCTTGAAGCTCTCTAGGGTCCCACCAATAGTCACCTCATTAGCATAAATTTGGACAAGGTTGAAAGGGGCTTGTTATAAGTAACTAGATGCTCCTATCACTCAGGAAATTCCATGAGTTTAGGAGCACTGTGCCAGGAACCAGGGACAAAGACCAAATATATATTTCTTATTATATGACAGTGTCAGTGCCAATATCCTGGATGTGATAGCATCCTATAGTTTTACCAGATGTTACCGTTGGAGGAAACCAGATTAAGGATTCATAAGATCTTTTTTTATGATTTCTTTCAACTACATTTTAAAATTACTTTTAAAATATTTTTTGAAGTGTTGGGTATTTCCAACAATAATTTCACTTACTACTGAGAGCATGTAAATTGTTAGACTTTGGTAATGCCTGTGAACATTTTTAATGTGCTTATTACTCTTTTAATCTAGTGATTCTTTGAGGAGTTTGGTTTGCAGTATGGAATTAGATAAATTATGTACCTCTATGCAGTGAACTATACAGATGATAAAAAGAATGATAACTGTTTCTAAGATACTCTGGTGCTGGTCCCTTCTTCATTTTACCAGAAAAGTCAGTGGAAAGTTTTCATATAATTCCACCACAGTGATATAAGACACCAGTGGTTATAAGTAGCTTTCCAATTTCAGAGATTTTAAAGTGGAGGGGAAAGTGCATTGATAAAGCAGGCTAACTCTCAATTTACTGACATGGAAAGGTGCCTAAACTAACAAAATGAAAAAACATGTTGCACAAGAATTTGTATAGTGTGACCCTTTCCCCGTTAAAGCATGTTTATATATGCTTATGTTTAAACATTATTGTGTATATTTAGAAGAAAGTCTAGAAGAATATTCAATAAATTTTAACAAAGGTCACCTCCAGGGAGCTTAGCTTGCTAAGGGAGAGGAGATGTGCGTGGAAAAGGGACTTTCACTACTTGCGATTTTTTTTTTCCAAATTTTTCTTCTACAGAAGTCCAATAGCTGATCTTCAGCTTAAAGCCATGCCTCTAGCCTTGAAGACTGACTACTCTGCAAATTGCATCTTGGCGAATTAGAAACAGCTTACTAGTAGCTTCCAAGCTAGCAGTCAGCAATCTGTAATAAAGTTTCTTGTTTTATGTTGGCTGGAATTTAGTGAGCCATAACTCATACTCATCCCTGTAGGCTATGCACCTCTTTTGGTCTGAAGACAGATTTTCTTGTCAATATACTTGCCCTAGCTGCCAGTACCTGGAAGTCCCATCCTTACTTGAGCATTTATTTGACACTTTGGGGACTGTGCGGGGATTACAGGCCTGCCATCTTCCAGCAGTTAGTCTTCAACTCACTTGTGTCTGTACCCTGTCAGGTGATGCCTCTGATGGTGGCTGCTAGTTTACAAGTGAATCTCTCCGTCTGACAGCTGTGTTGAGACAGGCCTCCGAGGGAGCGCTCAGGGAGCCAAATAATTAGGTAGAAACTCTGTGAGTTCTAATCCTGGGCCCTTCTGTAGGTTTATTGAGTAACTTGAGCAGTTGACTTTTCTGCAGTCCAGTGTAGAAGTTTTTTTTTTTCAAAGCTTCTCTGCCCTTAAATGGGGGAAGATTGTGCATAAAGTCCCATCTTGAAAGGACTGATTTATGAAATAACTTTGCTCTCTGGATTTTAACATCTATGATTCAAGAAGGTAGACTCTAATTTGAGTTATTTTTCTCAGATTTTCTTTCCCTTTATACAACGATGGACACATTCTTTATCTGTTCTGATGTATTTTCTAACACCAACCACATCTCCAGTTCTCTGGGCACCAACTGGATGTCTAATAGTTCAGTTCAATTTTGATACTATCTACCTGGAGTTAGTGTCAGTTTCCACAAGTTAAAGGGGCTCATTCCCACAAGAATGTCCCCACTTCAGACGCTAGTTGCAAGTCCTGAGCCACTCTTACTTCCAGCTGACCCACTGTGAATCAGGAGTTCTCAAGACTCCTTCCACGAGTTTCATAATTTGCTAAAGCACATCACAGAACTCAGAAAAACACTTCCCTTTTGTTTGCTGGTTTATTATAAAGGATACAAACAGGAATAGCCATATGGCAGGGATGCATGGGGCAAGGTTTTGGAAGGTGGGGGAGCAGTATGCAGAGCTTCCATGCCCTCTGGCGTACCAACCTCCAGCAAACTGATGTGTTCACCAATCCGGAAGCTCTCTGAACCTCATTGTTCAAGAGTTTTTGTAGAGCTCAGTCTCCAGCTCCTACCCCCTCTTTCCTGGAGGTCAGTGGAGCTAAAGTTCCAGTCCTTTGATCACTTGGTCTTTCTGGTGACTAGCTCTATCCAGAAACTATCAAGGGGCTCCACAACTAGTTCACCTCACTAGCATAAACTCTAGTGTTATTAAAAGGGGCTTATTATGAATTACAAAGACACTCTTGTCACTGGGGAAATTCTGAGAGTTTTGAGAGTTCTGTGTAGGGACCAGGGACAAAAACCAAATATATTTTTTCTATTATACCACATCTGTGCTGTCTAATACAGTAGCCCACCAACTGTTAAATTTGGTTTATTTTAATTAATTTAAATGTAAACTTAACAATAGCTACAGAACTAGTGACTATCGTAGTGGGTGATGCAGTCCAATGTATTTATGAAGTTCTTTTTTCCTCTACTATCCTCTGCCCACCAGCAGTAAACTATGAAATTTTGAGAGTCAAGATTGTTCAGCGTTAGGCTTTTGAAGTACCTTGCTTGTGGTGGAAGTGCAAATATTTTAGTAGTGACTTCAGTTTATCCAATAATTGTTGAGTTCTAATTTTTGGTCATGATATTATG